TGCGGGACTTGGGAGATGATGCAAAATATTCAGATCCTAGCAACAGCCATGGGAGCCGCTGTTTGGCACCACAAAAAAAGATGGAATCCAAATTCAGGTGGATTGGAAAATGCAGAAAACTGCAGAAGTTCTGAACAACCGCTCTCAACCCACAGTGGTATTTCTGGCAACTCTCACGCTTTGCTTGGTGAGATTCTGGATAGAATGTCCATACATGGGGCTGCCGTTCCTGCTTGCCTGTCCTCCATATTATTCTATGTTTACATACACATATGTTCACTCCAGCCTGGCAGCGTGCTCTAGTGTCATATAACATCTCAAAAGCGCAGCAGAACCAGAATCCTATGTTTAAAACACCATCTCGCTGCTGCTGTAGATGAGGAAGCTGAGAGGCAACAGGCTGAAGAAAGGAAAGAGCTAATGGGGACCTTTACTCTGTAGAGTAAGCAACATGAAACATCCTGGCTGAATGCAAGATCAACTGCTCATAGACCACTCTAGGTGAGGACCCTGGAAGAACAAGGCAAGAAGCAAGGAGTTGAAAGTGTACATGCTTAATCTTGGTCAGTATGGAAACCAGTTTCCTCTTCCTAAGCTTGTTTTAACTTGGAGTAGGGAATTTCTTTATTTTTGTGTACCGCATAGCACTGCGCACATTGTTGGTGCAAAACGATGATAAGGATGGGTGGAAAACGTTGAAGCAATTTCTGTCCTTTTGCCTTTCTACTTTACACACATATGTATGTGAATAAAGAATTATTTAGACAAGGTAGATGTCTTCAAGTTGGCAAAGCCTGACAAAATACATCCTAGAATACTTTAGGAACTGGCTGAAGAGATCTCTGATTGTCTTCGAGAGGAGGATGAGAAAGATCCCAGGGGCCTGGAAAAGGGCAAACAGGGTACCCATTTATAAAAGCATGAATAAGAACAACCCAGAGAATTATAGGACCATCAGCTTAACTTTGGTACCTGGAAATATAATGCAGCAAATAATCAAATCATTGATTTGTAAGTACCTAGAAGATAATAAGGTGAAAAGGAAAAGTCAACTTGCATTTGTCAAGAACAAATCACGTCAAATCAACCTAATACCCTTTTTCTGGCAGGGTAACAAACCTTGTGGATAGGAGGGAAGCAGTAGATGAGATATATCTTGACTTTAGTGAGGCTTTTGATATTGTCTCTCATAACCTTCTCATAAACAAACTAGGACATATACCCTACATGGGCTCTACTCAGAGAGTCACTATCAGTGGTTCACAGTCAAGCTGGAAGCTCTGGTTCTGCTCAATATCTTCATCAATGATTTATGTAAGCGGGGGAATGGTCCCGCTATTTTGGGGAACTTTCCTGGCTTCTATACCACCCCGGTGAAATGGACCAGCAAAAGGATCTGAGTCCCCGCTCCCACTTCCTTTACCCCACAGCTTCCCTGATCCTGAGGGCTCCCCCTCCACTCCCCTGAGTAGCAGAGTCCTCGAAACCCCAACAAGGCTGGGCCCAGGTTTCCTGGGGCTTAATCCCCGACCTTGTAGTCGCTAGGGGCAGGAGTTAGGGTGTCTCCGCTCCGAGGTGCTCTCTTCACACTGCATGCTAAGGTTCAAAGCAAATACAGTTTATTAAACATCAACTGATTAAAGAGAAAAGAATAAGAAAAAATAAGAATGGTTAAATGAGAACACACAGCCCTGCTCTGTAGCATAGGGACATCAAAACAGCAGTCTGCAGAGTGTAAGGACAGTCCACAGTCTCTTCCTTAGAGGCCCTGGATGTGCTGCAGGGGGGCTGCAGGCTGGCCACGCTTGCTCTGGCAGGGACCACACAGCCTCAAGCTCTAAGTGGCCAGACTCCTCTCCCAGTCTGGCCTGCTGAGCCTCTTGACTGGTGATATCTCCCTGCCCAGAGCCTCTCCCCGCACTTTGCTGGTCCCAGCTGCTCACCACCCCCAGCTGCAGGCTGTGCTGCTTTGCCAGTCTCCAGCTCCTTGCGTTGCTTCTCTGTCCCTTTTGGCTCTCTGAGCACTGCCAGTCTGCTGCTCAACACAGGGTCTGCGCTCCTTGAGCTGTGTGTGCCTGGCTCTGTTGCTGCAAAACTGCCCCTCAGCACAGCTTGCACTCCTTGGGCTGTCTGTGCCTGACTCTGTTGCTGCAAAACTGCCCCTCAGCACAGCTTGCACTCCTTGGGCTGTCTGTGCCTGACTCTGTTGCTGCAAAACTGCCCCTCAGCACAGCTTGCACTCCTTGGGCTGTCTGTGCCTGGCTCTGTTGCTGCAAGACTTCTTCTCTACACAGCTTGCTCCTCTTAGCAGTCTCTCAGCTCTCTCCTTGCTCAGAGAGACCTAGAACAATCCCGGCTCATAGGGAGGACGGGGCCTGGCCTCTTGCTTTCCTCACTGGTCTGTCCAACCTGTCAATCAGACCGAGCTGGAGTGTTGGCTGCTTTCCATTGTCTCTGGGGGTCTGTCAGTCTCATGGCCCCTTCCCCTTTTGACACTGGGAGCTGGCGAACCAAAAACTCCCACAGAGTTTTAGTAAGGGGCTAAGAGTCCCCTTACATTTAGCTAATGGCATAGAGAGAACACGTATAAAGTTTGCAAATGATACCAGGGTGGAAGGGGTTGTAAGTGCTTTGGAGGGCAGGTTTAGAAATCAAAATGATCTTAGCAAAACTGAAGAAATGGTCTGAATAAAGAGGATGAAATTCAACAAGGACAAATGAAATATACTACACCACCGTGGTTTGCTCAAGTGCCCGTGGCTTGGCTAACGGCAACATGGCCCTAGCGGAATTAATGAAGGGACACTCCTCTGTTGATTCTGATTAGCTGCTCTGCGCTAATCTCTCCAGGCTCCTTAGTACATGCTGTATTGGGTTAGTTGGTGTTTATATTACAATAGCAACTGGAAGTCCTAGCAAAGATTAAAATTCTGTGTGGCTGGGCATTGTGTGAATTGCACTAGGCTTGTCTGCACAGGGTAATTTACTGACGTAACCTTATGGGTAAACTCTTATTCCAGAATAAAAGTGTCCACATGGGGAGTTGCACTGGTGTAACTATAGCGGTAAATCTGTGTGTGTAAATAAGCCCTAAGGCACAGTCCCCGCCTGAAAAAGCTTGTAACATAAAATAGATCAGACAGGGAGAAACAGAGGCAGGAGGTGTCTTGCCACAGGTCACACAGCAGGGAATAGAGCTCACTAACACAAAGCAACACTAGCATGCAGAGGTCAGTGAGTGACAGAAAAAGGTGCGTCAGAACTAACATGAAATTGAAATGGGGCCAGTAGGTGATATTGTAGCAGAGTCCATGAGATGTTTCCGAACATGCGGTTTGCAGCATTTGGTCAAACTCAGTATAATACTGCCATTCCCAAACACAGAGTCATTTAAAAATACATTCTTTATAATGAAAATCCCTTCCCATCTAAGGCCCTGGTCTTGCAATCAGGATCACCCTGCAGATCTGATTGCTGGATAGAAGCCTTAATGGATTACTTAGAATTCCCCGTCCTCCCTCAAAGAATAGTTATCTTCATTGCTAAAAAGCGGTTCAAAATGCAGGCCTAGCGGAAAATCCAACCAAACTGCACAGAAGAAATTTAAGTCAAATAAACATCCTCCGCTATTCTCAGAGGGTGTTAGTCTGTATCTGCAAAAACAACAAGGAGTCCTGTGGCACCTTACAGACTAAGGGTGTATCTAAACTGCACCCTAAACTCGAAATAAGATACACAATTTGCACTGTGCAAATTGCATATCTTATTTTGATTCTATTTCAAAATAGCTTATTTTGAAAACTGGCGTGTATACACAGCACCAAATTTCAAAATAATGTGCTATATCCAGACATCCCTTAACCCTTGTGGAACAAAGGTTACAGGGAGGCCGAAAAAGCAAGTCCGTTATTTTGAAAAATATTTCAAAATAACGGTGACTTGTTAAGAAGCAGGGTAGCTATTTCGGGATACCTCCGCCCAGTGTAGATGTACCCTATCAGATTTATTTGGGCATCAGCTTTTGTGGGTAAAAACCCTACTTGGTCAACCCACGAAAGCTGATGCCCAAATAAATCTGTTAGTTGGTATGGTGCCACAGGACTCCTCGTTGCTTTCTCAGATACAGCTTTTCCAAATACCTGGTGGTATTCTCGTTCCACCCGACGCCACCATGATAAATCACACACGGCATACTAAGCTTATGCTGTGCTACTTTAGACAGTAATGAAACCCAAGACAATACAACCTTGCACCCTGCCCAAGAGGATCCATTCTGAACTTAAGGCTGCAAACTATAGAGACACAACTTAGCTTTTTAAATAGCTGATGGTGTACAGTAAATTAGGGGAAGGTGGCATATTAGCTCACTGGATACACCGTGAAGATAACATAGACCAAAGAACACATATTGTGTGGAAAGACATGCTCACCTGCTACTCTAACCCTATGGTATTGGGTGGCACTCATTTGTACAACCCAAAATTTGTATCCGCATCCACAAAAATGAGCTGTGGATATCTGTGGATGAGGATACCCACGGACAGAAAGCAGGTATCTGCAAATCTGCAGGGTTCTAGATACAAAATGAGCCATGGATATCTGCATCCACATCTGTGGATGTGGGAACTCGCAGATATAAAGTGGATATTCACAGATTTGCAGCACTCTACTCATTGCTTAGCTCAAAACTACCACTAGAATGAAAATGATCTTTTGCAAGAGGAAGTTTATTTCCCCACTCAAATTAAATTTTGTACAAAGATGCTGGTATTAAAACAATAACAACACTAGTATAAAGAGCAGATAAAAGTATCTTAAATATCCATTGGCTGGATTCTCAATGAATATGAAGAAATGCTGTCATTTTACGCAAAGTTAAGGGAATATTTTCTCCTTCTCTTGCTTTCTTGCCAACTTTTTTTTTTCCAAACTATGCAACCATGTGTAATTGGAGCAGAGCCTGTTTTGGAGGGGCAGCAGGATGTCTCATTTTCACTCACCTTTCATACCACTCCCTTCTTCCTGGAATGTGTTACGCGCAGAAGGCTGATCTTCTAAATGTTCACTCCCACCACTTCCCGAAGAGGCTACACTGCTCTGTGGAGACAGGGGGGCGTGATCGGAGGGGATGCACTGGGGTCCTCTAGCTCGTAAGTCCTCATGAGACATCCATCCATGTCCTAGAGGCTGGTTTGGCACATTCATGGGTGGGGTAAGGGACACAGATCGTTTCAAAGGGCTGTGGTGTGTCTGGCCTGAGAGAACTGAAAAAAAATAAAATTAAACAGGTTATTCCCCCCCTCATATTCTGGGATGCAGCAGAATCCCCAGTGCAGCTAATTAGTTAATCACGGTGCGTGCTGCTTTGCTTCCAGAGCTACAATTTCATGACTGGCTCCTGGTAACTGAATCATAGCCTGATCTTTCTTTTGCCTTCTTGGACACAGAAAGATGCATACATCTCAAGCAGTCTGGGATGTTGCACAGATCTGATTTCTAATTTAAAAAAAAATAGTTAAGCTTTTCACTCTACAATTACTTTTCCTGGCATCATGGGCCTAGTTACAGGCAGGACAGAAAACACAGGCCGTATGAGGCTACTCTTACTGTGTTGCTACCATTTCTTTTCATTTCTGCACAAATTACTATCTGCCTCGCATAAAAG